CAGGAATAAAACGACGCAGTTGAACAGGAAACATAACGGACGCAGGTAACCAGGAATATAACGACGCAGGTAACCAGGAATATAATGACGCAGGTAACCAGGAACATAACGACGCAGGTAACCAGGAACATAACGACGCAGGTAACCAGTAACATAACGACACAGGTAACCAGGAACATAACGACGCAGGTAACCAGGAATATAACGACGCAGGTAACCAGGAACATAACGACATAAGTAACCAGGAACATAACGACACATGTAACCAGGAACATAACGACCCAGGTAATCACTAACATAACGGCGCAGGCAACCAGGAATATAACGACGCAGGTAACCAGTAACATAACGACACAGGTAACCAGGAACATAGCGACGTAGGTAACCAGGAATATAACGACGCAGGTAACCAGGAACATAACGACACAAGTAACCAGGAACATAACGACACATGTAACCAGGAACATAACGACCCAGGTAATCACTAACATAACGACCAGGTAACCAGGAATATAACGACGCAGGTAACCAGGAACATAACGACGCAGGTAACCAGGAACATAACGACGTAGGTAACCAGTAACATAACGACACATAACCAGAAATAGACCAGGTAACGTAACGACGCAAGGTAACCAGTAACATAACGCAGGTAACCAGTAACATAACGATGCAGGTAACCAGGAACATAACGCAGGTAACCAGTAACATAACCGACACAGTAACCAGGAGACATAACGACGCAAGGTAACCAGAACATAACGAGGTACCAGTAACATACATCATAACCAGGTACTACGCAGGTAACGTAACATAACACAAGGTTAACCAGTAACATACGACTAGGTAGACCCGGGCACATCATGTCATACACTTCAAAGGTTCCTACATATGGTTAATAGTCAAAGCTACATTATCCTGGAAATCCGCGCCTCGTCATCTTGAATTCCTCTTAAGGCTTATGTCGCGTTCCTCGTGTCATTATCTCCTCGTTAATCTCTCTTCTCTCTCTCTCTTCGGTTTAGATTTCTGTGTAGCAGGTTTCTTTCTGTGTAGCAGTTTCTCTCTGTGTAGCAGGTTTCTCTGTGTAGCAGGTTTCTTTCTGTGTAGCAGGTTTCTCTCTGTGTAGCAGGTTTCTGTGTAGCAGGTTTCTTTCTGTGTAGCAGGTTTCTCTCTGTGTAGCAGGTTTCTTTCTGTGTAGCAGGTTTCTCTCTGTGTAGCAGGTTTCTCTGTGTAGCAGGTTTCTTTCTGTGTAGCAGGTTTCTCTCTGTGTAGCAGGTTTCTCTCTGTGTAGCAGGTTTCTGTGTAGAAGGTTTCTTTCTCTATAGCAGGTTTCTTTCTGTGCAGCAGGTTTCTTTCCGTGTTGCAGGTTTATTTCTCTATAGCAGGTTTCTTTCCGTGTAGCAGGTTTCTCTATAGCAGGTTTCTTTCTGTGTAGCAGGTTTCTTTCCCTGCAGCAGGTTTCTTTCCGTGTAGCAGGTTTCTCTCTCTATAGCAGGTTTCTTTCTGTGTGGCAGGTTTCTCTCTTTATAGCAGGTTTCTTTCTTTGCAGCAGGTTTCTTTCCGTGTAGCAGGTTTCTTTCTCTATAGCAGGTTTCTTTATTCAGGTTTATTTCCGTGTAGCAGGTTTCTTTCCTTTTATCAGGTTTCTTTCTGTGTAGCAGGTTTATCCCTCTATAGCAGGTTTCTTTCCGTGTAGCAGGTTTCTTTCTGTGTAACAGGTTTCTTTCCTTTTATCAGGTTTATTTCTGTGTAGCAGGTTTCTTCCTCTATAGCAGGTTTCTTTCCGTGTAGCAGGTTTCTTTCCTTTTATTAGGTTTCTTTCTGTGTACCAGGTTTCTTCCTCTATAGCAGGTTTCTTTCCGTGTAGCAGGTTTCTTTCTGTGTAACAGGTTTCTTTCCGTGTAGCAGGCTTCTTTCCTTTTATCAGGTTTCTTTCTGTGTAGCAGGTTTCTCCCTCTATAGCAGGTTTCTTTCCGTGTAGCAGGTTTCTTTCTGTGTAACAGGTTTCTTTCCTTTTATCAGGTTTATTTCTGTGTAGCAGGTTTCTTCCTCTATAGCAGGTTTCTTTCCGTGTAGCCTGAAGCCTACTCAGTGAGACCAACTCAGTCATGTTCACCGTCCGCTTCACCACGCTCAGCTTAAGTCGAAAACTCATGTATCCAAACTGGAATCTTGCTTCTGCAAACTCAAATCGCGTTTATCCAAACATGAATATTGCATATTCAAACTGGAATACCCTTAATCCAAACTGGAAATTTCCTTATCTTTACTGGAGTCTTGCTTATCCAGGCTGGAATCTCGTTTATTCAGACTGGAATCTCGTTTATCCAGATTGGAATCTCAGTTATCCAAACTGGAATCTCGTTTATCCAGACTGGAATCTCGTTTTTATCCAACCAGAATCTCGTTTATCCAAACCAGAATCTCGTATATTGAGAGTGGAATCTCCGTTATCCAGACTGGAATATATTATCCAGACTGGAATCTCGTTAATCAAGATTGGAATCTCGTTTATTCAGACTGGAACCTCATTTATCCAAACGAATCTGTTATTTTTGCAGAACTGAGATATCGAATGATGCTTATCCCTTAATGTGTATACACCAAGCTATGTACATCCTAGTGTATATACACAGAGAGGTGTATATCTGTGTATATACACCGAAACATGTATATATCTTGACATATATACACCGAGAATATAAGAATATATATTTTTTTTCAAGGCACCGGTCGCCACCCACCGAGGCAGGGTAACCTAAAAAGAAAAACAAAAGTTTTTCCTTTTAAAATTAGTAATGTATACAGGAGAAGGGGTTACTAGCCCCTTGCTCCCGGCATTTTAGTCGCCTCTTACAACACGCATTGGAGAATGAATATATATATATATATATATATATATATATATATATATATATATATATATATATATATATATATATATATATATATATATATATATATATATATATATATATATAATAGATAGATAGATAGATAGATATTATTTCCAATTATTAAAATCTTGTTAATTTTTAATTGGCTGATTTTTTTTCGGTCATGTGGAACCGGTTTTACCCGAATATAAAATTTGTGTATATTCGTAAAGGAGGGATTTACGTGAGCGTCTGCCACCCTCGTAACCACCCTGGCGGCCCACCTGAGCGCTGGATCACACACACACACACTCTCGCGGAACCTTGCCTCTTGTCGCGATTTGTTTTTGTTTTGCTCTAGATTTCCTTCAAGGGTGCCTTGATGCTGATGAAGGGCTCTTGATTCGAGGCATTGGTGTTGCTAGATCTTTCGAGTTGTAGCTTGATGCTTAGTTCGGAGGGATCGGAGTGTCATCTCTTTTTTGCCCTAACTGTGAAGTTGTTTGTGACTTGTTACAGTCAGGGTGTTGTGGGTTAGTTGTGAGTTGTTCCAGTCAGTGTGAGTTGTGCATTGTTAAAAGCACGGTATTGTGCGTTGTGAATTGTAACAAGCACCGTATTGTGGGTTAGTTGTGAATTGTTACATTCACGGTATTGTGGGTTAGTTGTTGAATTATTCCAACCACGGTACTACTATATTTTCCTACAGCTGCTCCTCCCACTCCACAGGATTTTTATTACCATCCTTACGGGGTTGTCACTTACCCCATTAATAAAAATAATATTCGTTATAGGATTTGAATAAAAAGCGGCTTTGAATACAACGGAGACGAGCAACTGCAGGAAGTAACAGTAAGTTCAGGGAGACTGTAGCAGCCCCTGGCCGGACTTGAACGCCTCCCGCCGTCCTCCCCGCTAAGTTTGTGTACCAACTTCAAAAGTTGACAATTCTAAGTCATTCATTTGTTTTAGTTGTGTTGCTGAGGTGAAATACGTGATTGGTAGATGACTGTGTACTCTTGACCGATGTGACTGGGGTAGACTTGACCGACAGGTGACTGTATAGACTTGGCCTATGTGACTGGGTAGACTTGACCGATAGGTGAGTGTGTAGACTTGACGGTTGTGACTGGGTAGACTTGACCGACAGGTGACTGGCGTGACTTCAGTGACATGGGGCTGGGTAGACTTGAGAGATGGTGAGTGACAGATGAAAACTTGAGTGACAGCTGACTTTAGTGACAGTTGACTTGAGTGTCAGCTGTTCTGAGACTAGGCATTCACTCTAAGAAGGAACGCCAGCTGTAACATATTTTAAAAGCCATGATACGAAACTAGCGGTGATGTGGGAGGGAAAATTTGGGATAACGGAAACACCACCACGATATTGTGGTCGTCTTTAGGACTGAGGTTTTTTGTACTGTTCAGTAGAGAATATTAAGACTTGACACCCAGGAATACTGGAGTGTAGCTCTTGGTTTATTAGTGTTTGATGGTGTAGCGTCAGAGTGGTAGAAGAAAGTGTGGAAGGTTAATTAAGAGGAACGGTAGAAGAAAGTGTGGAAAGTTAATTAAGAGGAACGGCAGAAGAAAGTGTGGAAAGTTAATTAAGAGGAACGGTAGAAGAAAGTGTGGAGGGTTAATTAAGAGGAACGGCAGAAGAAGTGTGGAAGGTTAATTAAGAGGAACGGCAGAAGAAGTGTGAGGGTTAATTAAGAGGAACGGCAGAAGAAAGTGTGGAAAGTTAATTAAGAGGAACGGCAGAAGAAAGTGTGGAAAGTTAATTAAGAGGAACGGCAGAAGAAAGTGTGGAAAGTTAATTAAGAGGAACGGCAGAAGAAAGTGTGGAAGGTTAAGAGGAACGTCTTGAAGAGTGGCAGAAGAAAGTGTGGAAGAATGTGGAAGGTGTGAGAGAAGGTTAAGTTTGAGCAGCGGGAAGCGGCCGCAACCCAGGACCATTTTCCACCACCCACTTACATTAACTTTTGCTGTTCAATTAAGAGGCTTGCACAACTTGATCAACTGCAGAGGAAAATCTGCTAGAAATCTAGACTATTTAAGTGAAGAAAGCTGCGAGGAGGAGAGAGAGAGAGAGAGGTGTGAAGATGTTGAGGTACTTAC